ATGGCAAAAGTCATTTTGTCACAGCTTATTTTCTCTGAAAAAATAGATTTTTATACTGTTATAAGGGTAAACTATTGAAAAATGACCGTTTTTTTCATCATCTGAACAAAATATCAAGGAAACTTGATCTGAACCCCCATCAAACTAGGTATTTTCTGAAAGCAAACCATATGTTCTTTCATTTAAAAGGTAAAATTGGCTGGTGTAAATGACTCAAAATTTTTTTTTCAGGGGGTAAAATGTGAAAAAATAGTGAAAATTTTGCATTTTTTCTAATTCTAAACAAAAAAATTCCCCAATAATGTGAAATTAACCTTTTTTCCTTTTTTTTAAATCAGAAAGCCTAAATCATAATCAAACTATTTCAGGCATAAAATTGAGAGTTTGAAGGAAAACAACATCCTTAGGGGTCAAAATGTGACAAAGTCTGTTGGTAATTTTCAATTATATAGCCACCAGGGGTTAAAAAAATTGACATCTGGCCACAGAAATCTTTAATAAAAGATTTATCCGCAATTCCTGACCACCGGAAACCAGGAGTTTATAGCAGCAATAAGGAAAATTAAACCAAATTGACTTTGACATGTCTGGGTCAAAGGCCAGCCAGCCAGACATTGAAGAAACTGTCATCAGCTTGTAAATACCACCACTTACAAGAGCAAAGAGTGAAAAGAAAAAAAAAAGGAAATATTAGTAAAAAGGGCTTGATATAGGTTTTTTTTTTTTTTTTGAAACCTATGTTTGAACAATGGCTTGATGTGTTTTGTAACATGTCGTGACCCATTCATTCCAACTTAAAGGATTGAAGTTTGAAAAAAAAAAATTTTTTTCATAAAAAAAGGTGATTTTTCTCAGAAAATTGGCCATGATTTTTTAATGCTAACCCCTGAGCGACATTTTTCACAGCCAAATCAAAGATTAATTACCATTGAATAATTCAATGTGCAAACAACAGCCATCTGTATTCTATGACATGGCCTGAAACATCTAGAAGTTAACTGATTGATCAAAAACTTGTTGCGCATAATTGTGTTTACCATGGTCAGTTTCTATTATTTCATCTTGATGCTGTCATTTTCAGACAGCCAAGTCATCAAGGATTCAGAAAAACAGTTGGGCACAGGTTTGCTTTGAGAACTTTGCATTCTATGAGGGATTTAAAATGTTAGTGACAAATGGGATTTTTTGCTGAATATTTTGTTCAAGATTTTCCTATAGGACAAAAACAAGCATTTTAAAGTTGTGGACACTGTTATAACTGATTTTCTTGAACCACCCTCAACTCACACTTACCAGGCAAAATGTTTTCTTGGTAACATCAGCTGAAGTAGTATACCATAATCAAATGCTACTATTCATTTGACAATTATCAAAAACTGAATCCTAAATTCACATACAATATCAAACTAAAAATACTAATATACCGTAAATGCACTTTTAAGCATGCTTTTATAATACCTAACCATTAATTAAAATTATATTAACTATACACACACATACATACACAATTTCTAGTGCTACATAATACCAAATTGAATACTTATATTGTAATCTACAATATTAAGCTAAACATAATTTAAGACTATATTGCACAAAATATTTGCTGAAGAAGCTAAGATCATCAGACATCAATGAAATGCATCATTTATAGCTTTCCACTTTGTCTCATCATCTCCACTTACATTTTTGTGTGAAAAAATTGGATTATTTTCAAACTGAATTTTCTTAGTAATCTTAAATAATGAAAGCTTTAAGATTTAAGGATGAAAAGAGCTTTAGTATTAAAACAATTTGTTATTTTTTTTCAAAAGATTTTTTCTACATTTAAACAATTCCACTAATAAACATTAAATTATTCAAAAGTATAAAATAACTTTAGTCACAAAATATATAAAAGAAACAAAGAGGTATAAGCCCAAATAAATACCAAGTAATAACAAAAAATGCATCAAACTATTCATTGAACATGTTTTTATAATCTTTGAAAAACTTAAGCATTTAAAAACTTAAACATAATTCCTAACGCCCAGTAATTTGTAAAAATTCCTAACTTTATCTTTTACAATTATTTGTAAAATTCTCCTTGCAATAAATTTTAAATATAGTTGGATGAAATAAAAAGTTGGTTTAGTTACATAAGAAAAAAATCATGAAAATAAGCTGCTACTATTTGAGCAATTATATTAATATTCTGTAAAAAAAATTTATGAATTCTTCTATTTGCCTTGTCCATTCAGAATGTGGATGATCAGGACACTCGACAATTTTCTGTCCTTTGTAGCTCTTAGTAAAATTTTGTCTTTTTGCTATCTCACCTAATTCATGTTCTGCCAACCAGTTACACAAGTTTCTTATGCACTGTTTTCCACTGTCCTCCTTGCCCTAAAAATTTCAATTGTGTTTTTCTGATTCTAAATGTGTCTTTTTTTGTTTCCATTTTCTCTAAAACTGTCATTGCTCACATGTTCAGTCCATGATATTCTCACCATCCTTCTGAAGAACCACATTTGTGTTGCTTTAAGTTTTTTCTTCATCTGTGATAAGATTGTTCAGTATTCAGTTTTCTAGGAAGACTGATATTACATGACAGTTAAGTACTTTTTTCTTTATTTCTAATGAGATTTTTCTGTTTCTTAATACTCTGCTTAGCTTTTAAGTCATTTTTTGTTATCCCAATGCACCTTTGAATTTCAGAGTTGTACTTTCCACCCTCTATTAAAACACTTGCTAGATATTTTTATACTTGCTTGATTTTAGCATCTCCAATTTATAATACACAAGTTTTTGCTGACAACTATATATTCAGTTTTTTTACAATTGATGCTTAGTACTTTCTTCTGACTTTCCTTAACTACATTCTGTAGAAGTTCCTGTACTTTCTGTGTCTGCTATCAATAGTGTGTGAGCTGCATATATAATATTGATAAGATTGTGGCTGCCAATAATGAACCCTGGTAGGAATTCTTATTTTTCAGAATCATCTCACTGTAAAGGTTGAATAAGCCTAGTGAGAAGATATATCCCTATCTTACACCAAGTTCTATTTTTGTATATTTACTGAATTCATTTTCTATCCATATGCAGGTGGTTTGCTTCCAGTATAAGTTCTGGATCATTCTAATATCCTTCTCAGATATATCAAGCTTGCCAGTTTCAACAGTTCTTTGTGATGTACTTTATCAAATCTTTTGCATAATCTATAAAACATAGGTATACCTCCTTTTGCATCTGTAATGCTCTTTCTGATATCATTCTGAGCATAAATATCGCATTCTTTGTTCTATTTCCAGTTTAATTCTGCTGTATGCTCTATCAGAATTCAGATAAATTTTGTTATGTGGCTCATTAGGCTGATTGTCCGATGGAATCCACTCTCGTTTGAATCTAGTTTCTTAGGCTATGAAAATGGATCTTCTTAGGTCATCTGGTATATCACCAGTTTTGTATATTTCATTTATTATACCTATAATCTCTTCAATCCCCAAATCATTTCAGCCTACCACCATCTCTATTACAATTCCACCTGCTACTGCTGCTTTGTTCTATTTGGCCAGTACTAATTTCACTGCAGATTTTAATATTTCAGGTTCTTTGATATTTCCGAGTATTGCTGGTTGTCCTTTTTTATCGTATTCATTCCATCCTCAAAGTATATTTTTCTCTAGTATCAGCATCCTGTCAGTACATGTCTCTTGTCCTGTTAGTTCCCAGATTCCTTTATGCGCATATTTGCTTTATCTGCTCTTTCTATTTTCATTTGAGCTACTCCTCTTTCACCTGCCTGCATTTGTTCCAAATTTCTTTGTGCAGTGTGCTATATTTTCTGCTTTACCTTGGCATTGTTTTTTGTTGTCTTCGCATGTCAAGAATTTAATGCCATCCATTTTTTTTTCTTAATCTCGTTTATGGATGTTTCTAAAGCTTTTCTTAATGTGTCCAATAATTCTTTGTATCTGGTTTTAACGCTGTCAATATATTTCTCCTTCACATTTGGGTCTTTCAGGAGTCCATCATATTGCAATTTACGCCCTGCCTTGGCCTTCTTCAATTTCTCTAGTTTCACTCTAAATTTACATATCATTGGAAGGTGGATGCTTCCGCAGCAGGGTACGTTTTGCAGTGTAAAAGTGCATTCCTGAATCTATTATTGACTGTTATATATTTAAATTGATTCTTAGTCTCTCCTCCTTGGCTTCTCCATGTACATAAATATCTTGGGTGTACTTGAAACACAGATTGTTATGGGAGAAAGGTGCTTAATGTCAGGGACAATTAAAAAATAAAGAAATATTACTTGATAGTGAAACAAAGTAACCTAGAGCGTGGCTATTAATGAAAATTTTATGCCAAATTTCTGTTATGTCCTGTAAAAAAGATTCCATATTAAAGACCGTATCCATTTGCTACATTTGACATTTATCGAAAATTTAATGTATACATTTTTAATTCTTTTCCAAGTCAAAACAAAATAAAAATAACACATAAAATTTTTTGTTCATGATTGCTCAAATTTAGTATGATATCAAATGCTGATAACCATCATAATGCTATCAGAAGATATGTAACTGAAAAATTCTTGAACATTAAATGGGATGGATTTCAAAATATAATTTTACATTTTTTAAAAACCACTACACAAATTTTAAGAACATTATATTAAGCACAAATTTAATCTACTTGAAACAAGCTTTCCAAGGACAGATGTTAAAAAGTTGGTACTTGCAAAATTAAAGCAACATTTTCTTGGCACAGTCACATTAGATAAACTAATACTAGCTATAATTTTACTGCATTCCATTGAAAAAAAAAAAAAAAAAAAAAAAAAAAACACGATCAAATTAATTTATCTTTAAAAAAAAAAAAAATTAAGAGCTCTCCATCACCATAAACCCCCAAGTCAACAAAAATATGGAAGCACTTTTGTTTCACTTCATTAATAGTTTTAAATATGTCAGTTACCACCATATAAAGTAAATAAATTGAATTAAGTCTTTGCAGGCCTATGGCCATACCACAATGAAACACTGTTTCCCAATGCAATCTCTGAAGTTAAGCAATGTTGAACCTAGTCAGTATCTAGATGGGTGACTGCTTGGGAATACCAGATGCTGTAAGCTTGGATGTGCAGGTGGTGTAATGAATAATAGCTCAGAATTGTTAATCAGAGGGCCAAGTTTCAATTCCAGCTGGATTTATTTACGTGCAAATACGCTTGGGAAATGTATGAAGTCACATCTCTCCTCAGCTATGGGTTAATTAGTAAGACTTCTACCCCTAAATCATCATCTACTCTCAAAAAATGCTTACAATCTAAAAATATTTTCTGGTATTAAATAACCTGCAAAGGGTAGATAAGCTGTAGAAAACAAAATCAATCAATATAGAAAGTTTTTGCAGTTTCTTTCAGCATTTTAAGGATGAAATACATTCATGGAAAATATACGCCTTTCTAGTCGAACCAGAACTTGGTTGTTATACTCACAACATTTCAGCTTTCTTCTGGTATGCCTTATATTCTGTAATGTTCTTAGAGTTTTGAAGAAGGTATAGCAGCCAAAAGATTTTAAGTATAATCACCAACATGGGCATGGTCTGAATGGAAAGGCATATAATTATGATCATACCTAATCTCAAAACTTAGTTTAATTGATTCAATTTAAAATATAAAGCCTTTCATACCTTTTTGTTTGTGTATTATATGCAAATAACTAAATCTAAATATCTGTGCAAACTTTATTGAATGAACCAAAAATAGTTTTATTTTTCCAAAACATGCAAGTATATATGAATGTTGTGGGGATATTTGATCAACAGCCTAAGTGACAGATTAGTTGTTCAACTGTACAATTTTATTCACAGTGCATAAACTAATGGAAAACGAACACCAAATGCTGCACTTCTACTCAATGCTTTATAAACTGAAAACCTTTATATGAAAGCCATTCTCCAATGGTTAATTACAATGCTTACCTGTTTTGTGCACTGTGTAATTATGAAGTCAATTTAATTTTACTTTAAAAAAATTAAAAGTGAAACCTATTCTGGTATTGTCTATGTATTATATCAAAATAACACTAATAATGTACAAATTCATTTAAACTCAACATCATTTATTATAACAATATTCATTATAATTTAATTTGTTGTTACTATTTAAATATACAAAGAAAAGTATTAATTCTGTTCCAAATATTTTTAAAGATGTTGGCTTAATATTGAACTAATGAATAAAAAGTAGAAATTTGTTTTGTAAGGAATGAGAGTCTTTTACAGAAAAATGTCATTTTAAAATAAATAAGCAATCTATGAAATAAAATGAATTGCCACTGCATTCTTTTAGTTTAACACTATTTAAAAACAAAAAACCAAAAACGATTACATAATATATGGTTTATATATGTAAATAAAAACTTGTCTTTTATTAAAAAAAAAAAAAAGCATAGAATATTCTATAATTCATTAACTTCTCTACAGTTTATTTAGAAAATAAATGAATGACATCAGAAACATTAGAATATTGGTGTATTGTTTGATTTTTGTGCTAATTATTAAATGTCTTAATTTATAAAATATTTTTGTTTACACAGTATAGAAATACATTATGAAAATCTATATGCTAAGCCAGTATATATGGTTTTAAGGGTCTAGATATTGTATTATACTGTGGTGTATTTCAAAAAGCGATTATATTTATCAGAATTGATTTTTCACCCCCCCACCCAAAAATAGCTGATCAACACCCTTTTTTTTTTAATCAGCTTTCATCTCTTTATTAAAAAATCTTCCAAAAACAAAATATACTTTTCTGAAGCTTTATTTAAGGAATATTAGCTGATTTAAAGTATAATTTATCTGATTTGAAACCAATATTATTTACTTTAAAATACTGCAGAAATTAATTTAAGCTAACAGTAGCAATGTTTTTAACTGACAGTAGGCATATTTATGTGAGGTGATGATATTGACTGCTGTTTTACAGAGACTTTATCTGTAAAGCATGAAAATGATGTAAGCATCTTATATATATATTAAGTATCCAATCTTAAAAATGTTGGAAATTATCAGTAATTTAATTTTAGGAATGTTGACTTTAAATTTACTATAGTCATCGTTCTTATTTTCTGATAATGTCATGTACAGTTGACCATACATTCAAAAATGTAACATAATATTTTATATAGATAAAAAAGTTTTTAAATTATTTAAAAAACCTTGGTGTGTGATGATTTGTATTAAGCTTTGCAATTTTTGATTAATATAGTTTTCACTTAATAACAATATAACCTAATGAAATTGAAGTAATGCAGAATTTTAAAAGATTTTTTGAAAATTATTATAATTAAAAAGAAAACTAAAACAATTCTTGTAAAAATTCATTATTCATTGAAAAAGTTGTTTTTTTTCATAAGTCAATAGTGCCCTTAATAAATCTTATTTATAAAAGCAATTAAAAGGTTTTCTAATTAAATAATGTCAGTCTTATTGCATTATTTATTTTACAATTCAGAGCAGATTTTGGGGAAATGAGTATCAGATTGAAAAAAAAAAAAAAAAAAGAAAAAGAAAAAAAAAGGACGACTGAAACTAGATTGGTTAAAAATAATCTCAATATAAGGTCATTAAAAATTTGTGTTTAATTTAATGATTAGAAGTAATTGATACACAAAGTAGATTTTAGTATAACTAAAAGGTAATAGATTACAAGATTTGATCCATAGATTACCAAGGTAATGAGCCATTATCATCTAAACTTAATAGAAAATATTAAAAGCAAAACATTTATTTAGTAATCACTGGTCAAATTCTTAATAGAAATTTGTTAGAAGTCTCCACATCATGTATTTGATCTATTGGTGATTTTGAATCCCAACAGTTAAACTTAATATTGATTTAAAAAAAAAAAAAATCTTCATTACTTTAACCTGATTATATAACTACATGAAGTATGCAAATGTATATTCTTCTCAAGATGACCAAACTAATTTTATCCAAATTGTAATTTAGTAATTTTAAAGGGAAAGAGAAGAAAAAAGAATCTAACCCATGAAGGAGATATTTATACCCAATTAACTGAGAGGGTGCGGATTGCTTTTAATTTCAGTGGTATCCAGGAAATAATCCATTAATTTAAATTAGGATATTAAAATTTAAAAAAAGATTAAAATGTTATAAAAAAAAAAAAGAAAAAAAAGAAAGATAAACCTGCTTAAATGTATGAAGTACACTTTCGATCTACAGCATTAAAAGGTTATTTGAATTTTAAATTATTTCTAAACACCTTTTTAACACCAAAAAGCAGAAACATTTCCTAAAACTTTAGAATATTCCATAAAATCTTAAATTGCACACTTTCTGCTTAACAGTATAAAGCTATAAGTAAACAAAATTGTTTGAAGGCCACTGAAAGTATTGATCAAATAACCAACTGAATTTATCATCTCAACACTGCTGGATATAGGTCAATGTTTAAAATAAAAGCAGTCAATATAAAATTTTTTGACTACAAATAATACACCTAATGTTACAGAGGACACAAGACAGTATAATAGAACAGTACCCAAAAAGATATAACAAAACATGACAATATCTTTGCAAATATATAAGGAAATGTCCAAAAACATTAAAAAAATATTAATATTTTTCTAAAATGTAAACATGAATAAATATAACCAGTAAACTTATATTAATTTAACACTAACCTATAGATATTCAGTTTAAATAGGTGTTAGATATATATAAAAAAGGGTTGCCAGTAACTATAAACATTTAATTCTTAAGACAAAAATAAGTTTGTTGAAACTTTCAATACTACTCATTAGCAGTAGATGAAGGTAATTTTACCATAACTATTTAAATAAACTAAAAGGTGAAACTACTGTAAATATTTATTTATATGACAAACCTCCAAATCAGCAATGTATTATGTAGATATAAAACTATAAACTTTCAATACACTATTTTAGAATATAACTTGTTTTATAGACCCAAAGTCTGCAATTAATAAACTAATTTGCTTGTAATAACAAGCATATCAAAGCAGATCTATCTTCTCACAATAAGAAAATTGAAAATACAATCGTGAGAACAAAGAGTTATCCACCTTGATTTAGCAGTGGCAAATTTTAAGTAGTTTACCAATAACGATCATCACGGATGACATCAAGGACATTGTCCAACTCAGCAAGATATTTTGCAAATTCTGATTAGATTAAAAATGAAAGACAGAAGCAATAAAAAGACAAGCCTTCATCAAAAGTCTTATGTAAAAGGGAATAGGAAAAAAAACAACTTATTTTTATAGAATAAATTATCAACAGAAATTTCTTAAAATTCATTTCCACTCATTTTTCATTAAGTTCAAAATCTGTAACTATAAAAAATTATTACATTCAAATATGCTAAAATACTTTTCTTGAACATTACCGACTCAGATTATATAATCTTATATACCAATACATTCTGTAATGTTAAATATGGTCATTGAGATTATTACCCTAAGTGTTATAAACCACAGATTGGTTCTGTAGGTGTTGAATAAATACAAATATGCTGAGCAGGCATTTGAAACAAAGATTGGCTAGCCACCTTAAGTGTGCTCAGAGACAAGTAACTGACTAGATTATTACTATTCATGTGTCACTGTTTTGCTTACAAGCAGTCAAAATGGGAGACTTTTTTTTATTATTAAAGACAATCAATATGTAATTATACTGTGTAACAAAATTTTGACTTATTTTCCAATTGCTTGTCTAGAAAGTAAAGAAAATGACTATCATTTCCTTCAAACTTTGCTTTTGTGACCTGGACATCAATGTTTTAAAACTAACCTATTTTCCATTCGATTCCAGACAGATTCAGTGTTTGAAGAACTTTCTAATAGTTCCATGAATTTTTAGAATGTCCTGGTAACATAGATGGCAGTATAAATTGTAAGCATCTGGTAGACGTATTTTGCTATACCTGTAGCGAATTTATCAAGATGAGCAAAAAAAAGTACTCCATGGCAAATCTGCTAAAATGAGTGAGGCTTACAAGGCATATGTCAGAATGCCTGACAAACTCTGAGTACTTCATTTCACCTGTGAACTCTACAAAATAAGATAAGATGGAAAGTT